GTTGAAAAATTATATGTTCTTTCAAACATCATTCAGTGTTTCATATTTTTATAATAAATTACTACCTTCATATTTAGATTAACAAATATTAGTTTCCAATATTTAATACTTGCATCAAGAGCATTTCTTGCTCTAGACCTGCACTGTCCAATATGGCACCCTCAAGTCACATGAGATTTAACACTTGACATGTAATCCATCTGAATTGTCTAACTGCAAATTACAAGCTGGATTTCAATGACAGCATGTAACAAAAAATTTAAAATACCATATTCATAATTTTTATATTAATTACATGTGGAATAATAATACTTTTATATATTGGTTTAAATGGCATATTGTAAAATTTAATTTCACTTATTTCTTTTTACCTTTAAAATGTGACTATTAGAAAGTTTACAATTACATGCATAGCTCATATCTGTGGCTTGCACTGTGTTTTTATTAGGCTGACCTGACCAATATGACTAAAGAAATTGTCAGGATATCTGAACATGTGGGTTCCAGGAATAATCTTTGAACTACAAATAGAGGTAGAAATTGGTATTATAATCGTGGTTTCTGGAAATACTAAATGTGTCTTAAGTGTTCATCTGGAGCTACATAAGATTTGAATTAGTGTGTAAGCTTCTATATTTATCACTAATTTTATTGTTAATAAATGTATAATGTGCAAGATATCTTCTTACATGGGATTCAAATCATGATACTGTTATTTCACCAAATTTCCCACCATTATTAACTGCTTGTTCAAATTCTTATGACCATGGTTTGTGTCTTTTTGCTCTTTCATCCCTGTTAGACCTACCACTGTGCTAAGTGAGACTTACAGAAAGAGCAGAAGCAGAAGCCGTGAACAGAACAACTGTAACAACCAGCATGCAGAGCATGGAGCTCTAACTCAAGGGAACAATAATAGAGAAACACAAATACCACCCAACCACCTATTCCAAAGAACTAGGACTCTCCTGTTTTTGTTTTTTCCCTTCTGCATTCTCTATCCCCCTACTCTGCCTCCTAAATAACTCTCAAACCTCTCTCAGCATCCTCACATCTATTGCTACTGCCTTGGCAAAACCTCTTATCATCCTTCCTGGGACTATTGTGGTTCCATGGCTTGGATCCCAAATTCCGATTCCCTTTGTCCTATTATTTATTCTTCAAATAGGAACCAACACATTCTTTTTTTCTAAAATGCAAATCTGTTCAACTCCTCTATTAAAAGTTCTGCCAACATCCTGACTGCCCACATGACACAGTACACTGTGCTTAGAAAGCATTCCAGATTTTCCTTTCTGCTCAGTTCTCTCCAGTCTCCACTGTGTCTGCCATGTTGGACAACTCTGCATCCCTCTGATGCGTCAGCTCTGGTGAAGTCTTTGAATCTGTGAACACTAGTATATTTACCTCTTATACCCTCTCTGCCTCGACTACCTTTACTTGGCCAATCTCTATCATTCTGAAGATGTTAGGGACTGACTTGTATCCCCTCAAATCCATATGTTGAACTTCTTGCTCTCCTGTGACTGTAATTGGAGATAAGGATTTTAGGAGATAATTAAGGTTAAATGAGGTCTTATGGGTGACATCCTAATCTTTTACTCCCAGTTTCCAGAACTGTGAGAAAGTAAATGTCTTGTTAAGTCACACAGTCTGTAGTATTTTGCTATGGCAGCCTGAGTTAACTAACACAGAAAACTGGGCTCAATCCTCCATTCCTGGAGAGTATGTTCCAATGTCCACAGCTAGTGACCCTCCCTCTGTTTACACACAATCTTAGATACTTTCACCAGGGATCACATTGTGTTGTGGTTATTGCTGTTTTTATCTCCTATATGACTTTATGAACCCTTTGACAACATGAAAAGTCTTTGATTTATTTTTGTATCAAAACCCCAGCACTTATTTTGTTTAATATTGAAAGAAGAGGTGAAGGGTGGAGGCCATGTTTTGATGATTAAACAGTGTTTTGCAGAAATCTTCCAAAACAAATAGAGTTTGGGGGGATAAGTTTCTTACAGAGTTCTCATAAGTAACTTTGAGCTTGAAGCCACCTGGATAGGGGAATGATTGGGATCCTGAGCTGGCCAGCTGGTGCAGCTAGAGAGGTCATGGTGAGGCCTGTTCCCTGGGAAAGGTAGCAGCCACCACACTGAGTCACTGTTCTCAAGAGGAGTCTCATCCCAGAGACATCCCTATCAAAGGGATTTGCTCTGTCATCTGGGACCTCAGATGCAAATGATTAATAGCACGGGCTTAAGAAGGACTCTTTACTTCTACAATACAGAAATCCGATTCCTCTGAGAAACACCAGGGATTGTGCATTTCAGATGACTCCATTTCTGTGAACACTGCTACAATTGTTCAGTTTCACACTTTCCAGTTGCAAAACTAATGGGGCTGCTTTTCTTGTGTTTTACTAGGGCTGCATCATTTATTCCTCCCCTCCAGATTAGTTTTGTCAACCTAGTCAACTCTGACTTTTCACGAGGCCCAGGTAGCAGAGATATTAGTCATGGCACATTTGTTTGTTTGTTTGTCTTTTGTTTCTTTCTTTTTCTGTTTCTGTTTTACTTTCCTTTGCTGGGAATGGAATCCAGGGCTTTGAGAATGCTGGTGAGCCATACTGTCAACCCTAGTGCATGTTCTTTACTTGTTTATTAGTTATCTTTTTTTTTTTCTATTTGTAGCCTACCTAATTTGTAATTTCCAAGGAATATAGTGTTAAGTTGGTTGGAAGATTTTGAGGGTGTTCTGGAGAATTTTCAGGGGTGGGGTGGAAGCCTCCAAGGTATCTGGTAAGTCTTCCTCCCACATTTATGGTTTAGACATGAGGTGTCCCCTAAAAGCTTCTGTGTAAATGCAGGGATTGAAATGATTAGATTATGGGAGCTATAACCTGATCAGTGGGTTGATCCATTTGATGGATTAATTTGAAAGGACTACTGTGCTAGGTGGTAATGGGCAGTTAGGGTGTAGCTGGAAGTGGTAGGTCGCTTGTGGTATACCCTTAGGGACTGTGTCTTGTCCTTGTTGTTCCTCCTGTGCTCTCTGCTTCCTGGCCACCAGGAACTGAGAAACTCTCCTCTGCCAGGCTCTTCTGCTATAGTACGCCATTTCACCTGAGACGCAGAACAGTGGAGTTGGTCAAGTGTGAACTGAGAGCTCTGAAGCCATGAACCCCAAATAAACTTTTCCTCCTCTAAATTGTTCTTATCAGGTATTTTGATGGAAAGTTGACTAATACCCCCACTGAAAGTTTGTCTATGAGGCCTCATTGACTTCAACATACATAGTTCTGGGTTAGAATTCTGGCTATTATTGATTAACTGTGTGAATTTTGAAAAGTTACTTGACTTTTCTGAGTTTCACATTCTGTAACATGAAAGTGACGATGCTTGCTTTGTATTGTTGCAAAGGTGAGAACAAAATGTATACAGCACTTGGTGAATGTGAGCACTCGACATGTGTACTATTATCGATAATACCTTTGTTGGCCTACTGTCCTTGTAAGGCATCTACCTCTGTTGGCAAGAAAGAGATAAAGAAGACTAAGGTGCATTGGAATTCTGGGACAGGGGAGCATGTTAACAAACTGCTACTTTCATCGAGAAGAATGTCTAAATCATTCAAGATAGATAGTTTTGATTTTCTTTTTTAATATCTCTGGGAATGTTAACACTTCACAAGGAAGTTTATTCTGGTGTTTCATCACTGTAATGGTTAAGAAGTTCTTGAAGTCAGCAGAAATCTGTCTGGTTTTCTTATGAGTTAATTTTCTTGCATTTAGTCCACAGAGGAAAAAGGAGAAAAGTGGATTACTCTCTCAACTGAGGAATCCTTCACAGGCTGAGCCCCAGGTCTCACTTCTTTCCCATTTTTTCCTCCGAGGTACAATGACCACAGGGCCTTTAACTGCTTCTCCTGGACCCATCCCTTTGTCATCTTGGATTCTTTTATATGAGGCAGGTTTATTTTCTTCACATCTGGTTAAGAAGCTTAGCAGAGAACTATTACAGAATGTAAAGGAAATGATGTCTTCTCAAGTCTACAAACATCCAAAAAAACAAAACGAAATTTAAAAAATTATATTGATGATATGCTAATAAAACCCAGAAAAAGTTCCCTGTTGTAAACAGGGGACATAAAAAGGATTCTAGTTGTTCTGTGATGAATCATAGTAATGCAGCATGGTAGTTAAGGACATGAGCTCTGGGATCTTAGAGACTTAAGTCTGGAACTCCAGTTCTTCCTCTTGCTAAAAATATGATGGCAAGTTACTTAATATCCCCAAGCTTTAATTTTCTCCTCTGTGAAAAGGGATAACTATAGAAAGTATTAACCTCAGGTTTTCCAAGGTGATCACGTATCCCAGTTATCAACAACACATCACCACGTTGCTCCTCAGCATCAAGGTTACTTGCCCTGCCATAATGGATGGTATTCCCTCACATCTCCCCTTCGCTGTGGGCACTGTGGTCATCCTCCTCATGATAGTATACTGAGAGGAGGCACACTGTAGGAGAAATAACTGTAGGCAATCCATGGCAGCCTGCCCTAGTCTCATTTTCAGAACCTCAGTCCACCCTGGTGATCATCCCATGACCTCAAAACACAGAAACCAGCATCCAAAAGGCCTGTCGTACTGCATCTCCCATCCCTCTGCAAGCTCATGTGTACATGTTTCCTTCTGAGATGCTGTTTTCTCTGCACATGCACATCACTGGTTGCTGATCTCCTGCAAACTAGATACCTTATTTCTGCTCACCTGGTGACAGCATGTGGCAATTCTAGCAAATGTCCCTGCTATCAAGGTCTAAGCTATGTCTACAATGAGGTCTAAACTTCAAAGCCCTTCCAAGTTTGGCCTTCCATTGGTATTCTCCCTAAGCCCTAAAGTACCATAGAGAATGGCTTTGTATCTTGTATCACTGTTTATTGAATCTTTATATTAAACCTCTCTTGTTTACATGCTGTTTCTCTCTCCTGATTGGATCCAGACTGAAGAACATGGAAGCAGCCCTCCCAGATCTCTGACTGCAGGAGGTGATCCTGATTGAAGACCTCCCCAGCTGCTTTGTCAAGACATCCCAGCCTTCACACCCAGGCCACACTTCTCATGGTACTCCAAGCTGATGATGGAACCCAGTGGAGATACTAAGGTAGACCTGTTCTTGGTAGATATGGGTACCTTTGAGAGGCAGCCTTGACTAAGGATGCCCCAGAGACTTTCTTAAAACTGTACTGTCAGCTAGAATTTTTCTACCCAAACTTCTTTTTCTTCAGATCTACCATAGCAGTCAGACCTGCATTATGACCTCTCCTACCTTCCTCTCTTTCCCCCTAAAAACTGTGTTCCCATAAATCTCTTGTAGATCTAATTCAATTTTGATGTCTACTCCCTAGAGCACCCAAACAAATACACTTGCTATAGGAATTAAATGAATCCACACAGGTTAAGCACATAGCAAATGCTTGATAAATGTTGGCTAGGAGAACATTGAGGAAGACAGTGACTATCCAAGGTATCAGAATGTCCACCTCTCAAGCTATTAATGCTATGAAATATTTTGGTTTCATTCTCTGGTGAAGAAGTAATGATTGTTGTGCAGGATAAGCCTCCCAACGGCTTTGGTGACCCAGTTCTTCCTACCTTTCACTTGTAGTTCTCAAGAATAACTGTAGAATCTGCTGGAACGGAAACATCCTGAGATAAGGACAGTAGTCCAGGGTTTGTTTTCATCTCTCAGAATAGGGTGTCCTTCAAAACTTTTATCCAGAGTGTCCAGTGGCTCCTGGGTATAAAACTCAGAATGGATTACTCTTTTGATGACACTCAGCTGAGATGTGATACGAGACAAGCATGGACAAGACTCCATCTGTCCTAGGCAATTTTTTTGAGCCTTGAAAGACCCGCTTGCCAAGAATCCTAGGCTTTAATTGTTCCCTTGTTGCCTATCTCTGAGTTATAAAGTTGCTTTACTTAACTTACTGTAGAAGTTTTCTGTCTCACTGGACTTGTGAAAGTGAATTGGTACTGTACATGATATTGGCAAGGTGTCGGGAGTCTTCCCCTGGGTTTGGTATCCATGCACAGTGAACCTGCCTCACATATTGGTCTTCTGACTACTGTCAAGCAGACACAAAGATGCACTATCCAATAACACCTCTAATTGGTAATATTTCTAAAACTTTTAATATGTCTTTCTTGTTTGCATCTGGTAACAAACACAGTGCAGCAAAAAGTTCCAATGAGTAATTTGGAAGTGTTTGGATTTCTGTGCTCATTAACATTTTGTTCTGATAATGGAAGACACATGTAGTTAAGTGGCAAGAATCATCTTAACATGTTGCAGGCCACTCTTCCTCTCAGAAGCTTTTTCTAATTTTTGTACCTTGGACCAAATTCTAACAGAAGTAACATAAATTTATATCCGGGTTCTAATTCACTCCCAGCTCCCATGGTCTTGATCTGGCATCCATAGATGATAAGGAATTGGTATTTCTTTGTTATTATGAGGGTTGAGGAAAGCGTGGTAGCTGTTCACAACATTTTTGAAACTGATGTAAAAATTATTTGCTAATATGGTTATAATTAAGTGTTAACAATAATGGAATTTTTCTCCATCTCTGGAGACTGTATGCTGATTTGAGAATCCTTTTCATGTGTGATTGTTGCCCAAAGTCAGTAGAGAAAAAATAGCAGATATGAAATGTGGGAGAGTCAATTACATCCTGTTTCATGTGAGTCTGTCATATGACTCTGACTGCTTTATTATTCCCAAGACTTCTCTTTTGTTTCTAAAATAGTTTTCAAGGACTCAGGCCACTGAAGGATGTGCAATAGCTCTCCCTGCCCACTGTGACATGATTTGTTATATTTACCACTGCATGATATTCGTATCTAGTGGTTTGGTGGCCTCTGCATGTGATATATGGCATGCCTTGAATAAATGGTGCCAATTTCCTCTCCTCTCTTCCTATCCTCTCCTTTTCCCTCCCCTCCCTTCTTGTCTCTTTGTCTTCTCCCCCTCCTCCTCCTCCCCTTTCTTTCTCCTCTCCTTCTCCTCCCTCTCCTCCGTGCCAATATCTAACTAAAGGACTGATTGCAAGAGATTTGCTACAAGTAAATAAGGAGTACTTTTATAAGGTTTGATTCTCCCAGGTGTCCAACTGGATGCATTTAGGACCTTCCAAATCAATTCAGAGGCAGATCCAGAGAATGTGGCTAAATATCATGGTTAATCCAATCATAGCCTAAGTGTTATGATTGACAGTATAAATTCTATAACTGATTCAAAAAGCAACAATTGAACCTTAGAAAGGTAACCTGAATGGAATGTGCTATTAGGATAATTTATTGTTTCAATTATATTCTTGTTGTTGCAGAAGAGATAAATTTGGTAATCAGGAATATTTCTAGACTTGTATGCTCAGTCACACATAATATTAACATAAATACTTCATTTCATTCAAGCCCTGGAAATAGTAGCTGTAATTAATATGCTCATCCATATGCCTTTTATTGTACCCTTTAAAAGCAAAAGATGATTTTTAAGAATTAAACATGGATTGGAATTCATTCTGTAATCACACTAGCGAATGGCATTTTAAAGGATATAGCAGAAAAAATATTGTGCTAAGCAGAAATGGCAGCTAAGAAATTGATTTCTTATGACACAGAGAAGTTTTGTATCCTCGTTTTCAATGAAATAGAAAGAGAATACTAAAATATGCAATATGATCAGGCTCTTTCTTGTCTTTGGCCAGAAGCCAAAACTATAGTTTTACATTGTCACACTGTATTCTCCTCTAATCCTCTGCTCTCTTTCTCTTCCCCCACCTGAGCCTGCTCCATGGTGATCCTCTCTCCCCAGGCAGAGCACGAGGGATTTGCAGAAATGCCTACCCCATCATGTCTTTACCTGGCCAACACAGAACAACAGATGTTTCCAAGCCATTAAAAGAGCTGGGACCCTCTGGAATTTGAAGCTCTCCTGAGTGAGCACAGCCCACCAAGAGTTCAGTGGGGTGCCAAGAGACACAAGGATTCCTAAATACTTCTTGAAAGTCCACAAATAGATTCCTGCTGAAACAGTTCAGATGGGCAAACCACATTTTAACTGAATTAAGAGATATGTTTCCAAATGCATGTTTTTATGATTTTTTTCAATGCTTAAGATTTGTGTGCCAATTTGTTGTTAAGGTGACAACATTTATGTGACACTGTTTCTAGTAGCCTATTATAAAAGTTATGTGTTGTTGGAAAAGTATGAATTAAAGGAACAAAATTGACAAAACATTTTTTCAATTTGGATAAATAATATTCCACAAACAGAAATATGTGCTTATGACAGACCCTAGTTTTGTCATATTTTTGTGTGCGTGTGTTGTATCCTTATATGAGAATAGTCTGTGATTTATTGCTATGTAGATTAGGAAGGGTCAAGCCAGAACCTCCTCATATTAAAACGTGAGGAGGCATAGAAACTGGAAAAATTAATGCAGTTGCAGGTGTGTAAACTCCAGTCTGGTGTACAAATGAAACTTCCATTCAAAAGCTCCTCAGGAGGGTTCAGCTGAACCCTGTCCCTGGCCTAGGTCAGCTATCTTAGTACTTTATGGCTCTCATTTTATGACAGTGGTCCTTTTGTGTCATTACCTGTCCAATGTCAATCATACCTGAGAGATTATACTTCTCATGAAAGCAAGGACTCTGTTTTGCTTGTTGCTAAATCCTTACAAAGAACGTGTCTGCACATGGTGGGTACTCAACCAGTGCTGAATTCATAAATTTAATACTAATTGGCAGTGATCCATGAGGGAAGAAAGGAGGTCAGAATAGAGACCGTGAGTTGGAAGTCGTTGGAGTTTGCAGGTCAATGATACCTACCCAAAGCACGGTTGGAAGCCCCTAACCTAGGGATATCTAGAACTCAAGATGTAGGCAGGGACCTGTACCAGGGTGGTTGGCGGTGTGATAATCCAAGGCAAGCCTAAGATTATAGATAGAGTTTAAGGAGACCTTTAGGTTGTGAAAGAAAAAATAATGTGGAAGCTAAAGTCCAGACTCAAATTGATGCTCTGTCTGTAATGAAAGAATGCATCTAAGGAGACACTACCACACTGATTATCAACCACTGGCTAGGGTGCTGACCTTGTGGTCTGGTCTCTCAGCTCCTGGTCCTGGTTCCGTCACTTACTGACCACAAGCAGGTCAATTAGCTACTCCAGTGTCAAGTTGCTCCTTGGAAAAATTGTTATAGCAAAGCTTTTCTTGCCATATAAAACAATAGCTAATTATCTATTATCAAAATTAGGTAAAAAGTCATAAAGAAAAATTACATAACAGGAAAATACTTTAAAATGTTAACCATGATTGGCTCAATTATTCTTTTGCAGCCCAAACTGGATTAGAGATTAATTTGTATAGGATCCGCTTGGGGAAACTGCCTGAACCCTCTGTGCCTCTGTGTCTCATTGTGCAGGACTAACCCTTGGAAAGTATACTAAGAGCTTGGAAGAGTAGGAAGGAAGATGGGGAAAGAAAGTCACATAACCCAATGCTTGAGTCATGTTCCCAAGGAGCAGCCCCAAGGAACGGGGGTGCCATGGCCTGCACGGGCTTTACCCCATGCCTTGCTGGGTCCCTTCAACATCTGCCATTCAGCCAGAGAGGTTTTTGAGAAGAGCCCCATTGGAGGCAAAGACAGAGTCAGATGGAGTCCATTAACATCATACTTGGGACTTTCCCCACCCTCAGCCTCCAGACGCTTCCAGCTCACCAGTCTTGCTTTTACTTTAGGGCTTTTGTGCTCCTCATTCTAGGGCTGCTGTGAGTTAAGGTGGCCAGGAAACAGTTCCCAGACTGATTATGCTTCACAGCAACTCAGAAGTCACATAATGATCTTAAGCAACTGCAAGTCCTGGGTGCCCCATATTTTCTTCAATGGGCCAGACTTTCTATCAAAGTACCATGATCCAAATGCTATCTTGTCTTGTTGTATGGCTGTTCCTTGGCCTTCTGCAGCTCAAATGTTGTGTCCCTAGAGAAATGGTGGGTGGTGATCTGTGAAAAGTGATCTGTGAAAGCCTTTGATGCTGCCCAGAAATTGCAACTGGCAATCCCGAATCAAGGAACTCTGCTGACCTTCTAGCAGACCCCACATCTCTGGCCAGGGTTCACCTTGGTGCTCAGGAGCATGTTCCCTCTTCCCCAGGCAACATACTAGCCCTATGGATAATTATGGTCCTCTAAAGAAGGAGACATATGAAACCAAGATTTAATATTTTGGTACCTTAATAAATGGAGACTTGGATTTGAGTTCATTTTCTTCAGAAAAGAAAGGATTTGATATTTCTCCCAACCAGAGCTGTGGAATACAACACATACCTGCCATAAATGGAATTTGAGGGCAGAACTTGCTTTTGGTTGAAGTCGATGGTTGTGTCCCTTTGACCAGAGCAGAGCCTGCATCAGTAGGAAATGTGAGAGTATAATAGAAGTATTGAAATCATTTACCTGTAGTAGCTCATGTGATCCTCTAGTGAAGTCCTACATGGTAGATGTCATCATCACCCCGAACTTTATAGAGACAGGGCCCCTTCCTTTGACAGAGCACAAAGACCTAACTCTCCTTCCTCAGATCCTGCCATATTGACAGCCAGGAGGCAGAGATTGGTCTTCAGGTCTCAGAGTCTGAGCTCTCTGCTACCAATTGTCTCTGGAAGGAGATTCTCTGAGGGTCCAAGATTCATTTGCTCATTCATGTTTTCACTCACATATTCCACAAATATTTATGAACCCCTGCTACATGGCAGGCTCTATGGTAAGCCCTGGTGATATCATCTGAAAGCACCAGCAGAGTCCTGGTTTTGTGAGGCTCCAGCAAACATCCTGTCTTTGTTCTGAGTCTCTTCACCAGTAGGTTGACCCCAGGCAGAGCCTCGTTCCAACTGACCATTTACTATCTTTTTGTTTTCAGGATCTTGAGCTCTAGTTTTGGTTCTATCACTTATCAAATCAAGTTATTGCACTGAAGATTTTCCCTCTTTTACCCACTCATACTTGTCCCCTTAATGCTCCCTCTCCCTTTCCAACTTCTGCCCAGTTATCTGAGTAAGCATCTCTTTCTCCAGTACCCTTACCCATAGCTGAGAGGCATAAGGATATCAGTAATGTGGTATCTGTGTCAAGGGACAAGAAGTTCATGTCAAATGAGCAGGAAAAATACTTCAAAATCCTATAATTAACTACATAGATCATATTTTCTTAATAGCTTTTTATTACTCTAATTTCTTCCCATTTCAAGAACCAGACTTCAAGATAAATATTAATCTACTCAAAATATAATTTTTTTGTTCAGTTGTATTTTTGTTTTATTTAAAATAAACAGTATTTTGGTGACTTCATGAGTGGGTCAACGGTTTTAGGACTCCCCAGAGGCCTCAAGGATCATTTATTACCTTCAATGAATAGAAAAATGTGTTTTAAATTTGAAATGCATGCCAGTAGCTAGCAGGATTTTTAACTCGTTATAGAATACATTATATAACTTATTTGGAAATTCACAATTATAAATCAATAAAACACTGGCACTTCATGCTATTTGAAAACAGATATTTCTTTCATTTCTTTTATTTTCACATTCCTTGGGCCCCATAAAACTCCATGCCCTAACAGCTGGGGAAACAGTAGGTTCTGGGATGATATGATACCCGAGAATAGATTTTTTTTTTTTAATTTCAAGATGCAGTTTGCCAAAGAATGTCCCTAATACCCTCCAAAAGGAAACAGCTGGTGCTGAGCTAGACTTTCTGAATTGATCCTTAACTTGCATCCAACAAACCTACAGCACATGATTTCCTAGCTTTTCTGTATATTTCTCTCCTCCAAATAGATATTTAAGAACTATATGAATTTTGTTCCTTCAAAACTGAAATCGAAGGTGCAATTTTCCAAGTTTCATAATGCCCATCAGATGTATTTTTTTATTTAACAAACAGTTTGAGACACTGAAACAACAAAGCTTATCCTAGGGAGTTTTCATCATTCCTTCTTTCCAGATGGATCCCAAAATATTTGCCAAGAACACTGCCTTCTCATGACTTAGGACAGAAATACATAGAGAACTGTAACAATTGTTCCCACTACAAACTATTTTCTGCAATTACCAGCGGAAATAACAGAAACGCCAGGAAAACACATATTCATCAAAATAGCAGATTTTTTTCTTTGTGAACTGTAATTAGTTCCTATGCCAATTTCCATTCTCTGAATTGCATGCTAGATGATAGGCAATTTGTGTGTGTGTGTATGTCTGTGTGTGTGTGTGTATAAGAAAAATGAATGTATTAGCTCATAAGTACATCCTGACCAGATTGCAAATTAGTTTCTCTGGGAAATGTATCAGTAAATAAAGAAAGCCTTTCTGAAAAAGAAGTTCATTTTTCCAGAATCCTTTATTGGGAAACTTTAGCTTTTACCCTTTATGTTCCTTTGTATTATTTTGTATATGTTAACCCCTGCAATGCCATGAGGAAGACTGAGTGGACCTTCTCTCTCTGCAATACACATGCATTTTGTGGTACTCATTGCAGGTGAAATTTGAATTATTTCATTGTCAGAGCTTCCTTTCTCTCTCAAATGCCAGCAAACTAGAATCCATAATCAATATAGAAATTTTGGTTCCATTTTAAAACAAAGGTCAGTGCACAATTCCTATGTGCTATATACTAGATTAAAAAAAATGAACACAGTAAAATTCCTGCCCTAAACATATAATAAAATCCCTATTCCCTGCCTGAGGAGGATGGTGCTGACAGTCCACATCCAGCACATAAATGTTTTGTGGGACTACAGCCCAATGCTGCTAATTTTCTGATTTAAAAAAAAAAAAACATTAAAAAGTGAGATTTTTTTAAATGTAAACTTACAATCTATATATACTTTAACACAGACTCATATCTCTCTTTTAAAGATACTTAATTTTTAAAAATAGTACATGTGCACTGTTCAAAGTCTGCAAGGTTATATAGTGAAATCCAAGTCTCCTTTCCCTCTGCGATCCTCAGCCACCAGGATGCCTTCCCCAGAGGCAGTTCCTATACCCAGTTTCTATAGATCTTCCAGAGATCTTCTAGCACATGCAAGCATATATGTGCATAATGTTCATGTGTACACAAATAGTGATATTCTATCTATACTTTCTGCACCTTATTTTTTCCACTTAAAAGCATTCTATTTTATGTTGACAGATCCAAGCCAGTGTACACAGAATTTCCAGATGCACAGAATTCTACTACGTAGAGACACCAGAGATTTATCCAGTCAGTCCCTCATTGAGAGAAATGATACATGCTGTGCTATCTGTAGTTACCACTGCAAACCAAGCTGCAAAAACAATTCTTTCCATTTTATTTTATGCACATGG